GGGGGGGGGGTAAAACTGGAAATCGCAGGGGTAGCTAAAGGGGGGTCACGTGGTGGCATAAAGTTACTGCCATTGCCGAGAAAAGCTTTTGAAGGACGAGAAATTCTTGAAGTCTCGTGACATCCCCCATTGTTTCCCTTGCAGATGGTACACCTTCCGGGAAGGGGTTTTCTCCCTCAAATGGCCTCAGATGCAGAAGTCAGCTCAATATCTAAGGACCTAGCAGGTTAGTGGGTGGTAAGCATGTCAATCAACGTCGCACTAGCTTACATGTCACACTTTTGCCAGCCCGAGCCGCCCACTCTGTCGTTTTCGTGCTCAATCATCCTCATATGCCGCGGCCATCATACCCTAGGGGTCCGGGACTGGCAGGCTTACGGCCCACACCTCCCTACGGCCCGCCCCATATCAATCAGCATAGAAAGCGGTGAGGAGTCACCCGGCTTGTCCACGGCTTTCCGTATGGCTAACTCCGGCGCGGCGACGAGTCTTGGGGACGGTAGAAAGGTGACGGGAGGGATTTTTCGGCCATAAAGAAGCCCATTAGAGTTACAGGTGGCACGGTCTGGCCTCTAACGAATATATAAACCCCAGGAGACGCCGTCGCCAGCTTGAAATGTCCCCTTCTGTGCAGAGCCACCAAACCCTGACTTCACCTCGGCAGGCTAGGGAAGCACAATGTCGCTCTCTTCGATTTGCGTCCCCAAGACGTTTAGCCCTCTTGGCTTGTTTGGAACCTCGGTCCTACGAGTCGAGGCCAATCTCGTCAGCGACTTCAACGCAACCATCCCGACCTACAGGCTTGCCCCCGGTCAGCAGTTCCTGAACATATCGAGGCTGGACTTTTGCAACGTCACCGTGTCGTACACGCACCCGGGCCAGAACGACGAGATCCACGTCGAGACATGGCTGCCGACGCCTGAAAAGTGGAATGGCCGCTTCAAGGGCACCGGCGGCGGCGGTTGGAATGCCGGCCGGACCTTGGGGCTCAACGTCATGTTCATGATGCCCGCCATCGACGAGGGGTTCGCAGCTACCGCTACCGACGCCGGCGTACCTCCCAATGTCGCCGACTGGGTCCTTGTTAGCAAGGGCAACGCCAACCAGATAGCCCTCCACAATTTTGCTGCACGAAGCCTTGAGGAGCAGGTGAGATTTTGTTCCTGTCCGAGGAGTGTTCCTAGACACACGTTTTAACCCCGGAAAGAACAATACCTAGGCCCTTATCGGCAAAGCTGTGGTGAAGCTTGCGTACAAGAAGGAGCCCGAGTACTCGTACTTTGAGGGCTGCTCCCAGGGCGGCCGGCAAGCCTTGATGTTGGCGTCGCGTTATCCAACACTTTACGACGGAATTGCAGCCAACGCGCCAGCGTGGGACCTAAACACCATCTTTGGCAGTTGGCTATGGCCGCCCCTTGCTATGAATCTGGCTGGCGAGAACGCCCCCCACGAGTGCGAGATGGACGCCATCACAACGGCTGCTATCGCGGCCTGCGACAAGCTCGACGGCGTCAAAGACGGCCACGTCGACGTCGAGATGGAGGAGTGTCTCTCCCATTTCGACCCTTTCTCCATCGTCGGCCGCACCATAAACTGCACTGCAAACTTGCACCCAGGCTCTGGGGATGTGGGCCAAGCCCTCGTCGTCAGCCGCCTGGCAGCAAAGATGGTGAACAGCACCTGGGCCGGGACACAGGGGGCCGACGACACCAGCGCCTATGTTGGGCCGGGGATAGGAACAGACCTGACGGGCAACACGCCCAACTATGTCGACCGAACAGCCTTCAGTGTCCTCAATACGGATTGTAAGAATAGAACCGATGGCGAAGTTTGCGTCAGCCGCCCGAATCCCTTGGGGCTGTGGTATTTCCAGTACTTCACTGGTAGGGATCCGACCCGCAACTTCGCAAACGTGACGCGGGAGGAGTTCAACAGGCTCCAAAGCTTCGGAGGGCAGGAATATGTCGCCTTCAGCCCGAAGCCCGACCTGACCGAGTTCCACAAGGCAGGCGGGAAGATGCTGACCTTTCACGGAATGGTAAGCACTCATGTCTATCGAGCACGTATCCAGCATTTCCCAGTCGAACAGTCGGCATTCTGACCCCCATCCCCCAGCTCGACCAACTGATCCCGGCCAGAGCAACCGAAAGCTTCTACAAGTCGGCCGCCTCCCGCTCCGGCAACATCCAGGACTACTGGCGATACTTCCCCGTGCAGGGGCTGCACCACTGCTCCGCGGGGACGGGCTCGACCCCGTACACGATGCAGAAGCAGCTGCAGGCCTGGGTTGAGAACGGGACCGCGCCGGCGTCCTCCCCAGTCGATCTTCTAGACCCCGCTACCAACGAGGTCCACCAGCGCCTAGCCTGCCCGTTCCCGCAAAGGGGAGCTTTCAGCAGGGGCTGCGGCGACCCGAAAAAGGAGGAGTGTTGGTCTTGCACAGGCGACCTAGGTGCTGCCTTGTAGGTAGTAGGCGCCGCCTAAGCTTGGTACAGACCCGTGGCAGCGGCTGGTCCGAGGCTTGGGGCGGGCATTGTGGGCAGCTCTTCCAGAAGGAGGGTGCTGTATCCGCAGGTACTAGCGGTCGCGGAATGGAATGGAACGAACGCGGCTGTGGTCTCGCCAACGTCGACGGTGGGGTCGACTTTCATGCCCGGTCCCTGAATCCCGGCCCAGAGCTGCCACGCAAAGTGGGTGGTGTGGCCCTTTCCTCCAGTTTCGTCAGGGGGTTTTCATGCCTATAGCTGCTGCGCCTCCTCTTGCGTGATGGCATGGATGCACCCAAGCATTCATCTCATAGTTAAATTTTAACCTGTGATTGGCAGCAGACCTTCGCGGGTTGTTCTCGGTTCGATCCGGCACTATGGCACAACTTAAATGAACGACGTCCTTCACTGAGCCGCAACAGCTCCACACTGCATAGATCGATGCAGCATCGCCCCCTTTTTCTCCAGATTCGTGAATATCGAGTCTTCTCAAGCCTGCGGGGAACATGGTGATGATTCTAACGAGTGCAGAGATGTAATCTCTTTCTAAATCGGGAGCCTGTGGACCTCCGAGATGGGCGTCAAGGGCAGTGCCTCGCTCGGCAAAATGGCACCCACGAGAGGCGATGGCGGAGCGAGCCCTTCCGTCGGTCGCGCCGTCGTCGTGGGAGCGGCGGGTGAGGTCAAATAGCAGCGAGCCCGCTCACGAAATGGCATCGATTTGGCCTTTTCTTCACCCATCCACACTTTGGATAGTCATTCGTTTGTATATTCTTGGACACCGTGAGGTTGTCCTTGCCACCCTCTTTTTTTTCTTTTTTTTCCAGCGATCAACATGGCGAGACTATTCGAGCTCGGCACCGCCCTCGTGGCGGCCGCCTTTGCCATCACGTCGGCGTCCGCGATGATCCTGGCACCGCGGGCCGCAGCCGTCTTCGAGGCCGAGGACGCGGCCCTGACGGGCACCAACGTCCTCATGGAGCTCAAGGGCTTCTCGGGCAAGGGTTACGTCGGCGGCTTCGACGCCGACGGCGACAAGATCACCTTCACGGTGCCCAGCGACGACGCCAAGCTGTACAACCTCAACATCCGCTACGCCGGCATCTACGGCGAGAAGCGCGCGATGCTGAGGTACAACGGCGGCTCCGACACGGAGATCCTACTCAAGGCCACGAGCGCGTGGGAGACGGTGTCGGGAGGCCAGGTGCTGCTGAACAAGGGCGAGAACAAGATTGAGATTCTCAACAACTGGGGATGGTAAGAACTTTTTTTTCTTCTTCTCTCCGCCCCCTCCCCTCCTTTATCCGCTAACACGGCCCCTCCGCCGGCAGGTTCCTCATCGACTACATCAGCATCGAGGCCACCACCCCGCGCGGCCCGCACGACGTCAACGCCGGCCTGAACAACGCCAAGGCCACCACCGAGGCCAAGGCGCTGTACTCGTACCTCCGGTCCATCTACGGCAAGAAGATCCTGTCGGGCCAGCAGGACCTCAAGTGGGCCGACTACGTGACGCAGCAGACGGGCAAGACGCCGGCCCTGGTCGCCGTCGACCTGATGGACTACACGCCCTCGCGCGTCGAGCACGGCACCAAGGGCGCCGCCGTCGAGGAGGCGCTCGCGCACCACGCCAGGGGCGGCATCGTCTCCGTCCTCTGGCACTGGAACGCGCCGGCGGGGTTGTACAACACGGCCGAGCAGCCGTGGTACAGCGGCTTCTACACGCGCGCGACCGACTTTGACGTCTCGGCCGCCATGGCCGACACGGCAAACGCAAACTACACGCTCCTCGTGCGCGACGTCGACGCCATCGCCGTCCAGCTCAAGAAGCTGAGGAACGCGGGCGTCGCCGTGCTCTGGCGCCCGCTGCACGAGGCCGAGGGCGCCTGGTTCTGGTGGGGCGCCAAGGGGCCCGAGCCGTGCAAGAAGCTGTGGGCCATGGTGCACGACCGCCTGACCAACCACCACGGCCTCGACAACCTGATCTGGGTGTGGAACTCGGCCCTGCCCGAGTGGTACCCCGGTGACGAGACGGTCGACATCCTCAGCGCCGACGTCTACGCCAAAGGAAACGGGGTATGTCGTTCATGTCGATATCTGTCCCCCCACCCCACCCAAAGTCACCATGCTAACCTACCACTTCTCTCTCCCTCCAGCCCATGTCCCTGCAGTACAACGAGCTCGTCACACTCGGCAAGGACAAGAAACTCATCGCGGCCGCCGAGGTCGGCTCCGTCCCCAAGCCGGAGCTGCTCAAGGCCTACCAAGCCCACTGGCTCTGGTTCTGCGTCTGGGAGGACCAGTACATCAACAACAAGGACTGGAACGACCCGGCCCTCCTCAAGGCCGTCTACAATGACGACTACGTCTTGACCCTGGACAAAATCCAGGGCTGGGCCAAGTCTGGTGGTGCCAAATAGTGGTTTGACGTCTTTTGTTTGTACATGTTGTCCATTTTAACGCATGCGTGATTTACGGGTCGGTCTATCTAAATACATATTTTTCGCCAATTTGCCTATTTTGAGTGCCGTATTCCTGACTTTGCCAATCACCATCCGTTTCATCAATTCTCTATGCAATCTTAATTTTACAGCTACAAGCCAGAAATCCACGAGCTGGGTTAAAGTGGCTCATTCTCACAGTGTCCACGGCTGTCTAGTCTATATTCTAACGACTACAAGTATTATGACTGTAAGACCCGGTTGCCCTTGTTGTCACAGACTCCATCTACTTGTCCTCGCAATCTTGCCCCGCCCCATAATATGCATCTCCGTACTTGGCCGTAAGATACCGCATCGATGCGATGGCGCTAAATTTGAGCTTGTTTAGTGCATTATTCTCAAAACCGACCCACGCCATGCGAAAAGAAACATTGGATCCTCACTCTTGTCTCATCTCCTTGTGATCCTTCCATAGCGTCGAGACGAGCAAGGATGACCTGATCGCATAGAGAGTCCAGAGGTCGTATCTTTCCGGATCGTCCTCCACCCGTAGGCCGTGAGTCTGCTCCACCAGGTTCAGATATGCCTCGTAGTACTCCTTATCTGCAAGATTCCTGGATGTTTTAAACTGCGAGAAATCATCTGCGGTAACGGGCGGATAATCACCGTTACTAAATGGAAAAGAGCGATGACGGCGTGATGGTAGGAAATGCACATACAGTCACGGTGGCCGTAGAAGCAGCACGGGTCATAAAGCAGCACGTTTTCGGTATCGGTGTCGACGGCGATGTTGCCGTGCCACAGGTCTCCGTGCAGCAGCACCGGCTCGATCTTGTTGCCGCCCGTCTCGAGCGGCCGGATGAGGCGGGGCACGACCCTGCCCAGCAGCACGGCCGACAGGGCCTCCAGCTCCGGGTCCGGGCCCTGGGCTGCCAGCTCGGCGGCGAGGACGGCGGCGAGGTTGCGGGCGAAGAAGGCCTCCCACGTGTCACACCAGGACGTGTCGATCACCTGGGTGGCGGCAAAAGTGCCAACGTGGAAGCCGAAGCGGCCGCAGGGGGATCGGTGCCCGTGCAGCCGCGCCACCACGGCGGCCACCTCGGCGGGCGCGGGGAGTCCCGGCCGCATGGGCGTCATGTCCCGGAACTCGGCCAGGAAGAAGGCCCAGCCGGGCCGCGAGGCGCAGCGGCCCCAGGCGACGGGCCTGGTGGCGTTGTCGGGGAGGGCGCGGGACAGAGTCTGGGAGCCCTCGAACTCGGCCTGGGCGATATCGTCGGCCCCTGGGACTGTGTAGAACTGCAAGTTTCGGCCAAGCTTGTCAAGACGTTTCAGGACCCCCGGGGAACATTGGAACAAAGGCTCACCTTGAGGAACAGCGACTTCTCGGAGCCGTCCCGGAGACGTATAATGACCTTGCTGTTGATGGCCCAGAAGCTGCAAAAGGGGTTTGTCTTGACACATTTGACCACGGCGCCCTTTGGGAGCGCTTTAGTAGACAAGGATAGCTTGTTAGCATATACCACGTTGCCATCGTTACTTATCCCAACCGAAAAAAGAACATGCCCTCCGTTACGTTGGCATCAAGCTCGGTCCCCTCGTACCGGTCCTCTTCCGGCACCGTCGGCATGTCGAAACCGGGGGGAAGCCAGATGGACATGGCTCTCACAGGGGGGTTTGCAGAACACAAGACCCGTGCAGGGCCGCACGGAGCAAAGCACGAGGGCGAGAGGACCAGCCCACCGGTCACCCACGGTCCGATGACGCCTTCTTAACACCAAGGCCACCGCACCCGCGCCACATAATCCATGACAAGGGACGACATCTGCTGGCTACAGGCTCCGAGTGTGACAGCCAATACGATGTCCTCGCCGGTGCAGACATCCAGCCCTCTCTGCCCTCCCGGCTGGGATGTGCCTGTTGTGTGCGCCAGTATCCAGCCAGGAAACCTGTAGTGTGTGGGTTTCCCGCACCTGGCGGGCGGTGCCAGGGGCGTCCTCCCCGGGCTGGGGACGATGATTGGCCGGGCCGCCGATGTGCTAAAGCTCCCACCCACCACCCCGCGTAGTCCCAGCGATGGGCTCATGCATTCTGCAGGCTTTCCCAGGTCCAGGCCTGAACGAGGAAAGCGTCGACCGGGCCGTGCGGTTCGGGCGGGAATTTTCTCCCCGTCTCAAATTCACGCCGTTCGGCCTGTGTAGCTCGGCGCATCAATTTTCGTCGTGACGGAAATGTGTACTCACCACGGACTCCCGTCGCCAAACAACAACAACAAGCCCGGCAGCAGGTGACAACCTCAACGGACCGGCCGCCACCGGCTATGGCTGTCTGCCCCGATGGGGAGCGGTCCAGGGAAATCAGACCGGTGAGGAAGATGCCTTGCTGCTGCAGATGGCGGTGAAAATCTGCTGGCGCGGTGGCGTCGGATAACCGCGCCGGCCGTCTGGAACACTGGATCATGCATTTTCGGGCAGGTGGTTATGCAGGACCTTGTCCAGTAGATTGTGCTTGCCGTAGTGGCCGCAAAAGTCGGGCAACAACATCGATCCAATCAGCGTGGGCTTCCACTCCAATAGTTGGTGCTCTGTGTAACGGAGGAAAGACGACGTAAGGGGACCCCGACGTAGAGTCTTCCTCCACTCGGCCAGCATCTAAAAACTACATTGGAACACGTCGGGGCCGAGCTGTGGGGTCGCACCATGGTACTGGCCTTGTGCTTGCGCATCTCTATTCTCGTTCAGGGCAAAAGAGGCGAGAGTGCCAAATGATAGCTGAGAGGCCCAACCAAGGGGCGAAAAAAGAAAACAGAAGGCAACAGGCATGTTCCTTTGGAACAAGCCGATATTGCGAGTTAGGTTCCGGAATGTCGACCATATGTGCTTGTCCGAAATCGATGCCAGTGCAGCAGATCATGATTGCTATCTGCTGCGTAATTTTAAACTGCGTGGGGGTAAGGAAGTCATGCTTGGGCTAAAAAAAAAAAAAAGGATGTCCAGGCAATGGTGAAAATGACCAGACAGTCAAGAGCAGCCGCCCTGAGTGACTTGGGCAAGCAGCAAAAGAATTGGACAAACAGGGAATCGAACCCCGGACCTTTCGCAATGCCGCTGCAGATGATTCTACAATGCGAAGCGAACGTTATACCCCTAAACCATTCGCCCACAAGTTGTTGATGTGCTGCGGGGACATATGCCTCGGTTATCAGCGGGGCGGGGTGGTGAGGGGTATTGTAAATTCGTAACTCGCATACCTCGACGACCTTCGCGACGCAACAGCGGCCATGAAAGAAAGGTCAAAGACATCCGAGTGACATCGATACTCGGCGGTCAGGTCAAACCTCTCTCCTGCATCTTGCACACCGAGATTCCCGAGTGCATTGTTGGGCTTCGCCGACTTTTTTGTCTGGTGGTGTTGAATGAATGTGTGCTCTGCAGTACCATTGCAGACAAACCAGCTGGCCCGGCCCCTCCCGCCTCCCGCCACCAAGAATGCTGTCTGGGCGAGCTCCACCAGGCCGCCAGGCGCTCCAGCCGGAAGCTTGTCCAGGCGCCAAAATGGGGCCAACTGCAGAGGCCCAGGCCACAGCCGCCACGACATTCGCCTGGAACCCCTCTGGAAGGTGGAATTGTGCGTTGGAAAGCACAGCGGTGGATCGCGTGCTCCACGGCAGCACCAGTATGCCCAACACATGGAGATTCGAGGTTGGTCAGGAACGCCTGCAGATTGAGCTCGTTGCTCGGCTCCATAAAATATGGTCGGAAAATCGGACGACATTCATGAGAAATCCCCATGTTTCCCACTCGTAATGCAATCGGTGTCTTGGAAGGGCGCATGAGCTGTGAGCGGCGGGTGATTGCTGGCAATCGGCTGCACGCCTGAGACATTGACGGCAGGCAGAGGGGAAGCGACGTTGGGCCCCACTTGGGCCCCACTTTGATGCTGGCTGTGCTTGATCCTTTGAGTAACATGTCCGCAACAGCGGACATTGAGCCACAATGGAGAAGCAAAAAAACAAGCAGCTGCACCTCGAGAGAGCCAATGGACCATAACAGCCGCTGCCGCCCCCTTACCGCCCCTAGTCCTGGGCGGGCGCCAGATCGAGGCGCTGCGGGTGGGGTCGCATTGATCGCGGCCTGCGGACTTGCAGCCGACCTGCTCACACGAATGGGTGCCGACGTGTGTCCCCCAGGCGCCTGGGTACGCGTCTTCGTGGTGGCACCCTGGATTGACGTTGGTCAGGCAGACAGGCACTGGCTGTTCCAGTCCTCCTCAGCTGAGCAGCTGACGGATTGAAATAAAGCCCCGTGGGCGCCAGGCACTCAACGTTCCTGCAGCTCGTGACGCTTTCTCTCTAGCCTATCGCTCCGGCCCTTGTTTTTGAAGCCCGACCTAGGTCAAAACGGCTGTGCCTGGATACCTTAATTATCACCGCGTTTCTGCTTGTCACAACCTCAGCGACGGCTGCCCGTTCGAGACGCCCGAACGATTCGCACAGCTGTCCTCCCAGGCAATATCCAACCCCAGCCTTTCCTCCTTCCAACATATCGCCCCTGCAATGTCGCCCACATCAGCAGCCCCGTCGCCCGCCCCGCGCGCCCCTCGCGATGATGTTCATCACGGGCTCAAGGAGCTCAGCAGCGCGCTCGAGATAGGGGCCACCGATATCAAGGGGAGCATTAATCCGGAGCCCCTGGCCATCCCCCAGCCCGGCCCAACCGCCACATCCTCGATCTCGGAGAAGGTGTCTGAGGAAACCGATCCCGCGGCGGCTGCGGCGCCGCCTCGGCCGTCGCCCAGTGCTGTCACCACGTCGGCGTCGGCCCAGCCAACCACTGGCCAGGCCAGGCAACGGCTCCGGCTGGTCGCGACGGACAAGTCAAAGCTCTTTCTTCCTGGCCAGCCTCGCATCAGACTGGAGCCTGCGGCTCCTAGCACAGACAACGAGGATCGTGTACTGGAGTATCTACGCGAATCGCACCTCACCACCGAGTTGGACGGACTGCTTCCTTATATGAAGTATATCTTTGTAAGCGCTGCTTTTTGCTGTGGTACCAAAGCTTCTGACGACGCGTGTCGTGGCGGGACTGCTTTGCTGATGCACCGCCTTCGGCTCCTTTGTCCAACAGGTCCAGACTCCGGCCCACAAGCACATAATGCCGCTGCACCACCAGAAGGCCCACGGCCGAGATGTCATTTTGAATGAGCACCCAGGGCTGCACCTGGTCTGGTACTACGATCGCATCTTCATCAAGCCCATACCGGCCTACATGTACAGCCGGGCCTTTTGGGACTACATTTCGAACGCGGACCCCAAAGTGTACCAGGCCTCGCTGGGCTTCATACGCTCCTACTACTATCTCATCCAGTTCGAGACCGATTTCAGCCAGGCCTGCAAGATTGGCCTGATCCCCAAGATTCCTACGCCCCCGGCCCCAGCCTTGCCGGGAGGGGACGCAGACCCCAAACATCCAAGCTACGAGGAGTTTTGCGCCTTCATGGAGTCCTTCGTGCCAGACATCGAGGACACCGACGTCAACTACCGCTTCGGGTACGGCGAGCTGCGCCTGACGCGTATCAACAAGACCACCATGTTCTTCAAGCGCAAGATGGCATACTTCCACATGCTGCCGCAGTGGGGGTCGTACCTGCAGCACCTGCTGACGCCCATCATCACCGTCTTCGCCATCCTGACCGTCATCCTCAACGCCATGCAGGTCACGCTCGCGGCCCACGAGGTCGGCCCGGACACCGTCACGGACAACTGGAAGCCGTTCGTCGGCCTCTCCCTCTACCTCCCCGTCGCTGTCATGATACTCATCTCCATCCTGCTCGCCTTCCTCCTCGGCGGCGTCCTCGCCATGGGCTTCAAGGATCTCGTCTGGGCCAAGACGGTTAGGCACCGTCGCAAGCACGGAAACCTGCAAGCCGGGGAGAAAAGCTATGGAGTGATTTGGTAGTATTGAGGTGGTAGCGATGATTCTTTGGACTTGGCAGGCGGGAAGGATGTAATGGGCTTTGTTTGGACACGACCAGTTTCCAAAAGAAAAGAAAAAATCTTGGATACCAGGGGGCTTTTTGGTTTTTCTTTGTCCCCCCACCATGTAACAACGACACAGCTCACGATAACCTCATCGGGCGATTTCAGATTTCAGCACTTGCACCAGTTTCAACAGCCTCGTTTGCATTTGCGGGGACCGCGCTCCAGGTCGACGACACATGCAACTGGCGTGACGCCCGCATTCATCACGCCCCCATCAGATGGCGTCGCAGTCCGGGCTGCAGCTAGCGATATTTCGGACCAGTCGGCATTCGACTGCGTAGGTAGTTAGCTGCGTGTGCGTCTCACAAGCCGCAACTGCAGGGCGGGGTGCGAGCTACCGACGCCTTGGCTAGGCAATTCGCAGAGTTTTCGATCCGTCGATGTGCCTACCCGATGCGCGATCCCGAGTCTGGGTGAAATACGCGACTGGGCGTCCACGAAAAGGCTCTGGATCTCAAAGGCGTCAGTCTGTGTTTTTTTCCCGTCTAATATTGGTACCTAGTTACTGCCTCCGACAAACAAGCACGGAGGCTCGGCACTTTTGCGTCATCGCTGCCACCGTCCGGGACGCCCAAGCCGGGTGATTCGGTTGGCTTTCTCAAGAGTGTTTGTGGTGATTTGTATTTTGTCGGCTACGACGACGGCGGTGGCTTAGGAGCTGCCGTGGCTAGGCTGACACCACCAGCTTCTTTGCTTAGACTTCGCGCTAAGGTCAGGGGCAGACGCCCCCGGCTACGCGGGAAATGCGCCTCCCCACACCTCCATTTTTTCAGGTGATTATGGAGCTCTTCCACTGCGGTTGGTCTTGTCCGCATCTGGAGGTGTGGGGATAGGCCAACACTCGGCAGAGCTCTTTGTCCTTCTTCTTTCTTTTTCTCTCTCTCTTCCCGCGTCCCTAAAACCCGAATACCCATCTGGGGAGATTGCCTCGTAGGGGTTCATTGCATGGGTTGCACACACCAGTTCGCACGTAGGGACGTGCTAGCCCGTCGCGCGAGTGAGGTCTACAAACAGGCTAGACAAAATAGTGCTTAGCCCGGGGTCTGGTCCCCACGGCAGCCCTTCCGCCAGCCGGCAATGACAGATCATGTCATGGACGCAACAAAAGCAACACCAAATATGGCTTGGCCCTAAAAAAAGCATACGAGGAGGTCGTCCGTGCCCACGTCCCCCAGAAGACACTTGTGTCTTGCTACGAGCGCCTCGGCGCGCCCTCCCGTGGCGAGACGGGCCGCCAGGAGGGTCCCAGATCTGCCTAGATCTGGCATCCAGAGCCGTGTCACTGAAGGATGGCCCGATGTCTTAATTTGGGTTGCGGACGAGCAATGTTAACGCCAAGGAGCCATTCTATAAGTTTGACCCCGCCGCCATTCCTCGAGCATGGTCGGTGTTTGTAGATCCCTCGGACAGAAAAAAGCAAACTACCTTGACTACGCCCACCTTCGTTGTCTCGATCCCTCCTAGTGTCCAGACCAGGGAGCTTTCCCCTACAACATAAACAAAAAGGAGACGCAGCCAGCTGGCCCGCGGCCACTACTAGGAAGCGAACTCACTCCATATCTATTCTTACCTTCCTTCCCGTCACACTTTCCTTCTTGCAAACCACTCTTTCACCAAGCCAAAAACGACATCGTCAGCTATAACGAGAAGCCACATAACAAAACCAACGCAACAGGAAGAAAAAAAATGCGCGTCTTCTCAACTCTCGTCCTGGCGGCGGTCACATCCGCGGCGGCCGCCGACGACGTCGGCTCGCTATTGTCCCAGATCCCGGCGTGCGCCTTCCCGTGCTTCGCCGAGGCGTCCAAGTCGTCGGGCTGCTCCCTCACCGACTACAAGTGCATGTGCAACAACATGCTCCAGGTGCAGAACGCGGCCGCCAACTGCCTGACCACCAGCTGTCAGGTCGACGATCTGGCGAGTGAGTACCTCTTTTTCTTTCTCTTCTTTCAACACTCATTTTGGCTGTAACAAGATGCGGCATAAAAGAGTACTGACAAGTTGCAAACCCCAACAAAAACAGAGCTGGCAACCATGAGCTCTCAGCTCTGCCAGGCTATCGCGGGGACGAGCGGCACCGCCAAGGCCACCGGCGCCGTGGCGACGGGGAGCACCGCCGGCACCGCGTCTGGCGCCGCCGCCACAGGCACCGCTCCCACGCCAGCGGGCGCCGGCCGGTCCGTCGCCGCCGTGGGTGTGGCGGGCCTGGCGGTTGTCGCCGCTGCTGCGCTTGTCGCATAGGAGACGTGCGTGTGGTTTTGTTACGAGTAACATGAGGTTTTATGTTTACCTAGCCATCAAGAGGTATTTTTTTTGGGATATCTTTCCGTTGCTTCTGCAGTTTTCACTTTCTGTTCTCTTTCCAAAGCAACGGCCCAAGCCGGAATATACGCGTGGCGCGTCCTTCCTACAACATTCTTTTTTTTTCTCAAGTTCCAACCGTTTGACTGCATATTCCCCCAACACGTCGTGTCGTCATAGAGACACGGACAGATATGTCTCGCAAATCTAGTTATTCTAATCTGGTTGCTGGTTCAGTGTGCTTGGAAGCCGCAAGGAACTCAAATTTGATTGCCAACATTCCTCACCCACTTACCCTCCTCTTCCAGTCCTCCTTGACCCGGTCCAGTATCCCTTCTACAGTGAGGATGTCGAGCGCGGTGCCGGCGAGGGCCTTGCCGGACCGTAAGCACCGCTCAAAGGCGTCCCTGGTGCCGGCTGACTCGGCGAACTGCGGGTTGTGTGGGCCGTTGGCCTCGCCGGGGGCGTGGATGGAGAAGCCCGGGTGCAGGCTCGGCAGCGCGTGGCTGACGTCGCCCTGGTCCGTGCTAGCCATGGTGCGGCCCGCGGCCTCGTCCACGTCCGGGTCCGTCGGGATCGGGTGCGGGGGTGAGAGGGCGTTGAAGTGCTTCGTGTACGAGGCGCCCAGCACGTGGTTGGGTATGTGATCTAGTTATAGGTATAGGTCAGTCTGACGAGTTGCCCGAAGACGTGATCTCGACTGATGAGCTCATAGGTTCGGTACCTTTGTAGGACCGTCGCTCCGTGATTTTGACAGTGGCACCGGTTGCCGTCGCCCCGGCCTTGAAGCAAGCCTCAGCTTTCTTTTTCAAAACACCGAGCCTCGCCTGCGTGCTGGCGCGCACGACCCATTCCGCCGAGGTGTAGGCGTGGATGATATTAGGCCGTAGGCCGCCGCTGGTGATGCATGTTTGTATCACGTCCCCAGGCATGATTTGCTGCCGCAGGACGGACACGGCGTTGTAGGCCTGGTTGCTGTCGTCAGCAACTTGATGTCCTGCAGGTAAGCGCTGATATCAGCTTGTACCCCATGGGGATGCTACTCGCCGTCACCATGGCATCGAGGGCGTTGATGCCGAGCCACGGGTTCGCGGCCGCGTGTGCCTCGCGCCCAAAGTATTCCACCTTGTAAAAAGTCAGCGCAGACGTGTGGACCAGGGCGCTATCGAAAGTCTTGCCGGGGTGGGCGATCAAGCTGACGTCGACGCGATGGTCCTTGTAGGCACCAGCTTCGAGTAGCCTGATCTTGCCTCCGCCACCTAGAGGCCGCAGATGGTGGTGAGCATCCATTCCATCCCAGAGTATGATGGCTGTGGGTGGTTTGAAGTCGGGTTTACCTTCTTCCGCAGGCGTGCCAAAGATGACGACCTTGCCGCCCAGATCACGGCGGGTGATCATCTCGGCCGTGGCCAAGGCTCCTGCTACCGAGGCGCTCGCTATCAAGTTATGGCCACATGCGTGGCCGATGTCTTTGAGTGCATCTGGTATTTGCCCAACAGCCCTCTCCTTTGATCAGCCTGCCGTCGCCTACAAGTCCCGAAAGAAAGATGCATATTCGCGCTAACCCATCTCCGCATTGAACGACACGACAGGACCCTTCTTGCCGCTGTCGAAAACGGCGACCCAGGCAGTGGCCATGCCGTAGGCCGAAGGCGTGACCTTCCAGCCGGGCCTGGAGGCCATAAACTTTGTCAGGGCCTTGTGTGCAACAAACTCCCTGTATCCAGTCTCGGGCGTGTCGTGGATCTGCTTGTTGATGGGCCACAGCTCGTCAGTGATGCCGTCAATGAAGCGACTGACATCACCGATGAGCCCTCGACCAGCAGCATCGTCTCCGAGATGGGCATCTTCCGGAGAGACCAGGACGTAGTCGTCCTCAATCAAAGACATGTCGTCAGTAGCGCCGGGCTGTTGTTCTGATGGGAGACCTGGACTGCAATTCTCACGAAAGTGAGGGCTGAGAATGGGACGGACCGGGCGCATTCCCGAGTGGTTGTCGATTCAAGCTCGGATGATGTGGTGTCGCTCAATGACGAGGTGTCTGCCCCGCTGATGTTACACGGGCACCCGTCTGTGGGTGGTCACTTCCAGAGTGCCCTGACACCCTCCATCTCGTGATAGCCGAATGTGCCTGTTGAATTTGTCGTCCCCTGTGTCATGTCATGCAAAGGCGCAAGGTTAGCGCCAAGGCCAACTCCCAACGGGGCTTCCTAGCAGCTTGATAGCTATCAGCCTGGGCTGGCCGCGCAATTCCTCCAAACTTCTATGTTCATTGAACTTCGTTGGGGTCCAGTCAGAGGAGAGAGCGAAGCGAAAGCATAAATCGTGGAACTCGGAAATCCAGGACGTTTGCCCGCCAAGAGTGACAGTCCCAGAGCGTTTTTTGAGTCAGTTGGATCGGCAAATTATCTCCATGTTCTGGCCAGGAATACAACGAAGGCCAGGCTGCTACCGGCCAGTATGTAATGATCACTATGCCGCCGCGTTGTCGCTGTGCTAGTCAATCCGTGAATCCTGCAAGACTCGCATCCCAATAGGTGGACATCAACCATGGAGAAAAAGGACCAACATGAGACCGCAACGGAGGCTGCGAGGCCGGCTTCCAAGTCCTTCAAGGGAGGGAGCAGCGGATACCAGGCCAGAGCTGCTGGAGCATCTATCAGCGCCAGCGACATCGAAGACGAGGCGGGGAGCATCGCTGCAAAAGCGCTTAGCTACGGAGACCCGGACCCCGAGAAGTCGCGCCGTGTCCTGAGAAAGCTCGATACTTACATCCTCCCGTGCCTCTGCATCACATACTCCCTGCAGTTTATGGACAAAGCATCGCTGTCGTACAGCTCTGTCTATGGAATCATCCAAGACACCCATCTGACTGGCCAGGATTATTCTTGGGCATCATCAATCTTCTTCTTTGGCTTCATGCTTGCCCAGTGAGACCCGACCCTTTTTGTCAAAAACAAACATGGCCGAGGTATAGCCTCGTGTTACTCACGCAACGTCTATCAATTAGATATCCGGGCATGGTTATCATGCAGAGATTCCCAATCGCCAAGTTCCTAGGATACAGCATCGTCATCTGGGGGTTCGCTTTGATGGCAACAGCAGCCAGCTCGTCCTTTGTCGGACTTGCCGCGGCGAGATTCGTACTCAGAATGGCCGAAGCAACCATCACGCCGGGCTTTGTGGCCATGACCAGCATATGGTGGACGCGCCGCGAGCAGGCCGGCAGGTCGGCGCTGTGGCTATCTTTTCTCGGCGTGGGCGGCTTTGTCGGGTCGCTTGCCATTTTCGGCATCGGCCACATCCACGGTAGCCTGTCCTCGTGGCGGTACATCTTCCTGATTCTGGGGTCCGTCACCGTAATGTGGGGATTCGTCTTCCTGTTCTTTGTGCCCGACGGCCCGGCGCAGGTGAGGTGGCTGAGCGCGGACGAAAAGGTGGTGGCGGTCCAGCGGGTGATCGAGAACAGGATGGGGACCAAGAGCAGGAGATTCGTCAAGGCGCAGGTCGTCGAGGCACTCACGGGCCCCAAGGTCATCGTCCTTGGGTTGCTGCAGTTCGTTATCGCCACCGCAGCGGGAGGCTTCTCCTTTGGACCCCTCATCATCTCTGGCTTCGGGTTTGACCCCCTACAGACGACGCTCATGATGCTGCCGTACACGGCCGTCCAGGTCATCTCACAGTTGGGCTGTGGGCTGCTAACATCAAAAATCCCCAACTCCCGGCTGCATGTTGCCAGCCTAGCCATGTTGCCGCCAGTGAGTTCAAATCGGCAGGCAGGACTGAAAGCGGTCATTTTGCAAACAGCCCAAGTCCCAGACTAAATCATAATCCTCCCAGATCGCCGGCACGATTCTCATTTCACAGCTGCCAACCGAGAACAAATGGGGCCGCGTGACAGGCTTCTGGGTCCTCGGATTTCACCTGGTGGTCTTCACCATCGCTCTTGGGCTGCTGGGCACAAACATCGCCGGCAGCACCAAACGTTCCGTGGCGCTTGGCTGGTCCTTTGTGTCCTTCGGCGTCGGCAATATCGCCGGGCCGCATTTTTTCAAAAGCTCAGAGGCACCCGTCTACCAGAGCGGCATCATCTCCATGCTGTGCAGCTTTGTCCTCGCGCTCATTCTCGCACAGATACTGCGTCTCATGTGCGTGGCGGAGAACAAAAAACGCAACAGGGAGCTGGCAAGGAGGAGTCCGGACGAGATTGCTGAGCTCAAGCGCATCGGCGACCGACAAGGCTTTGAGGATGTCACTGATAAAGAGAACGTAAGTGATCAGAGTGAGTCACCCTTGTCTGGGAGAAAGACCGCTCGCTGATGGTTCGTAGTTTATGTTCCGATATGCCTTGGAAGCCGCTAGCGGTTGCTCAGGAGTGGGCGGATTGGCGCTGCGCGTCAGGACCCTGTTAGTGGAGAGCACGCGAATTAGCGCAGGTGGAGATAGGATGCAGCCATTTGACCAATGATTTTGCACCAAGGCACCCCCACAATGGCGGTGGAAAGCAGCAGAAAAAAAATATCTTGAGCAACTGTAGAGAGCGCCGTAAAGGTTCCATGCGCCAGTTGTATTTCCAGTCTCGACGTCAAGCCACGCACCAGCACCAGCACCATGGCGGCCGAAGTTGTGCCACTAGAGCAATTGAAGTTGCCTGCGGGCCCCTCGCCCGTCACGGCCGAGCAAAAGTACTGGAAGTCCTTTAAGAACCAGAAATCGCACACGTCGACGGCGTCATGGCCCGTCTCGCACATCAGCTTCCCCGCCCCGACGGGCTCCTACACGTCGACCTCGTCGACGTCGGCGGTCAAGAACAACGACCTGTTCGCCGTCACCGCTGGTCCCCGTGTTGATGTCTACAGCATCCGCCGCCGCGAACCGCTCAAGACCATCGGCCGCTTCGACGCCGCCGCCCGCTGCGGCGAGATCCGCCCCGACGGCCGCGTCCTCCTGGCCGGCGACGACACGGGTCGCATGCAGGTCTTCGACGTCGCCGGCTCCAGCCGCGCCGCCGTTTTGCGCACGTGGAACATTCACAAACAGCCCGTCTGGGTCACGAAGTGGTCGCCGCGCCCCGCCGACCTGACGACGCTCATGAGCTGCTCCGACGACAAGACGGTCCGCCTATGGGACCTGCCCTCGGCTGACCCCGTCCGCACCTTTGTGGGCCACCAAGACTACGTGCGCAGCGGCGCCTTCATGACCGGCCCTGCTGGTGCCGGCGGCGGCGGCAACATCCTCGTCACCGGCTCCTACGACTCGACCGTCCGCCTGTGGGACGCCCGCGTGCCCGGCCCCGCCGTCCTGACCTTTGCCCACCAGGCCCCGATCGAGGCCGTCCTGCCGCTACCCTCGGGCACCACCATCCTCGCCGCTTCGGGCAACTCCATCTCGGTGCTCGACGTCGTACACGCCCGCCCCATCCGCACCCTCACAAACCATCAAAAGACCGTGACATCGCTCTGCCTGGCCAGCAATGGCCGTCGGGTGCTCTCGGGAGGCCTGGACGGCCACGTCAAGATATACGATGCTGAGTCGGGTAACTGGAACGTCTCGGCTAGCATCAAGTACCCCTCGCCCGTCCTGTCGGTGGCGGTAGTGACTGCGGGCGCCGCCGCTTCCGACCGTCACCTCGCCGTCGGCATGGCCTCGGGCCTGCTCAGCATCCGCACCCGCCTCACGGGCGCCGCGGCCGACCGGGCCCGCGAGCTCGAGGCCGCCAGGACCGCGACAGACATTGCAGACCTGCGCTCGGGCGACGCAGCCCGCGAGAAGAGGAAGCGGAACGCCGCGCACTCGCTCGCGCTAGACAAGGCCGGGCTGTCCGCCGACTTTGTCATTGGCGACACGGCCGTGACGGCAAAGGGAGGCGCGGCAACGGGCGGGCGCAAACGGCGCAGCGCCAAGGAGCCCCGGTGGCAGCTGGACCTGCGGCAGCAGCGCTACCGGCAGGCGCTGGACCGGGTGCTGGACCCGGCGTCGCCCGAGGCCAGCCGGTCGGCGGTGCTGTCGTGCCTGACGGCGCTGCGGCACCGCAGTGCGCTGTCGCACGCGCTTGAGGGCCGCGACGAGGAGACGGTGCAGCCGGCGCTGCAGTGGGCGTGCCGGCACATCGTAGACCCCCGCTACGTTTCGGTCTGCGTCGACGTCGGCCTGCACCTGCTCGACCAGTACGCCGAGTTCGCGGACCGGTCGCCCGAGCTCGAGAGGGGCTTCCGCAACCTGCGGAACCAGGTCGTGCGCGAGGTCGAGAGGGCCCAGATGGCCTGTCAGACGGGCGGCATGCTCGAGACGCTCCTGGTCAGCTCCGAGTCCTAGAACGACGCGGGCGCGCGGGGACGCGGAGCCAAACACAAGCCCAAGCCCAAGTCCTACCATAGGTACGGGGCATACGTCGGTGGTGTTTAGCAGAAGCCCTCTTGTGGGCGGAATGTTTTGTATTTGGTACCCCTTTCGTTCTAGAGGTTTATACCCCAATATTCTTTTGGTCTTGTCTCAATCCTCCCCGGTTTCCTATTGTTTTTTTTTCTTTCTGTTTTGCATTGCGTCGGCGTTGCGCACTGGGAACGGTTACATAAAAGGTGCCAACTGATAGCTCAACGTTATATTCTTATTCACCCCTTTCTGAGTACGCCTCCTCTTCTCGCTTTTGATAACGTAGTCTCTGAGGCTCCTGTCTGCCTAGCGAACACAGCTATCGATGTCAACAGGTATGGAACCCCGTATGGACAAGTGGAGATCCCTTATTAGGCTAATCAGCTGTGTAGGCGCGCTCCATCTTTCCCCGTATGGAGGTAGGCTGATTGGCATGCTTATGTAACATCACCCTCGTACCGCCGGACTGCCCGCGGGCATTCCCGGGCCCACGACGTCAATACAGCCGGAATCTAGCCATCTGCTTACGCGTTGACGCAGTCTGCCAGCCGGTCTGGTGACTTGTCTAAGCCCCTTCAAATGCGTCTTTTTGCCCATCCTCATTAGGGGAGGTTTCTTCACTGGTAGCCAAGCACCAACTGCGGCGTGTGCTAAGGCGACCAAGAGCCGATTGAAGCTTGGCATGATCTACAGAGTCTCGCCGCGAGGAGGCTTAAAGAGCAGTGATCGTTTGAGCTACAACCTGGTGGCGTCAAAAGGTATGCACGAGTGCCCTTGTGCCCCTCCAGCAACCAGGCTACGCGCGGACACGATGAGCTTGGATCCAGACAGCAGAACACAAGACGGGCTGTCCCCGACGGTGGCGTCCTCGCCACCCCGCGCGCCGGACCAGAGGCCCCCGCCGCCGGCCTACGCCGAGGCGGCTGTAACGACAGGCGCCCGCAGAAGCAGCGGCGCCGACGCCATCGTGCCGCCCGGCACGCTCTACCTGGCATCGAACCAGATCTACCCGGGCGACGACACGGGCTCCTCGGGCGCATCGCCGCTGTACGAGCTCTCGCTCGCCGTCAGCTTCCTGAGGGACCGGACCAGCCCCGTGCGGCTCGAGCGACTCGAGTACTCTGTGCGCCAGCGGCTGCAGCACGACCACCCTGAATTCCGGCAGGAGGCGGCGGGCCTGCCGCCCGGCGTCTCGGTCCGCCGCAGGCACATCTACAATCTGGCGCCCGCCCCCCCGCGCAGCGTCGGCGGCAGCGGCGGCGGCGGCTACGCGGCCGACCCCGAGGTGCGCGCCGCCCTGGGGCCCATCTCCGTGTCGGATCGGCGGTCGTCGCTGGTTGGGTCCGGCGGCGGCGGCTGCCAGGCGTGGCGGCCGGCCAGGAGTGGAGGAGGTGGCGGCCGCGGAGCGGAGCTGCTGTTCGAGGCGCGACCCGAAGGCGGTGGCCACGGCCGCGTCCACAGGGACGATAGAACGCTGCAGTGGTTCGCGTACGGCCAGTGCGCGCCCGACGGGGAACACGCTAGCGATGGTGGTGATGGTAGTGGCGATGGTGGCAGCGGTAGCAGTAGTAGTAGCGGCGGGGGCATGGGCACGGGCTGGCTGGTGGCGCGCGAGGACCAGGACGAGGCGGAGGGGCTGTACCGGCTCGTGGTGCTGGCGCCGCTGGGCCGGCAGGCGAGGGACGCGCTCGTGGCGGCGTGGTGCTGCCGCATCTGCGGCAACGTCGTTGGCGGGAGGGGCAGCACCGGCCTGGCCAAGTGTGAGTTGAGAACCCACCCGGATTTGCTCTTGGCCTTTTACGAGACTTTTGCTGACATGATTTTTTTTTGTCGTGATAGTTAAACGCGTCATGAGCATCATCAAGCCACCCGAGTCGATTACGCTGAAGCAGAGATACCACTAGTTCCTCATGATGAAGATAGAAAAATATGCGGATATGCATTCATCGAACCGCATTCTACCATGTCCCAGCACCGTCCCATTCGTTGTCTTCAGTCCAGCCCCGCGTCCACTACCTCGACAGGATGGCCCTCAGCACCTCGTCCAGCTTCTTGGTGGCCCAGGCCTCGTCGCCCTTGAGCTCGCGGCACCGCCAGGCCACGAAGCGGTCCGGGCGCGCCAGCACGCAGCCCGACTCGCCGACGGCGCGGACGCGCGCCCAGTCGAAGTAGACGTCCTCGAGGTCCTGGTCGTAGCCGACGGACACGACGCGGACGGGCACGCCCAGGGCCTCGGCCGCGGCCTTTGCGGCCGCCCTCCAGGCCGCGGCGCCGCCGATGCCCGTGAGGAGCAGGAACCCGCCCTTGCCGGCCAGGTCGATGGTGGTGACGGGCTCGCCCGGCTCGGCCGTGTTGAGCCAGACGTGCGGGAGTCGGCGCCCCGGCCGGGTGCTAGGCGTGTAGTAGAGCACCTCGTCCGGGTTCTCGGGCTCGAGCGAGAGGTCGCCCAGGTCGGCGGCGTCGTCGGCCGCGCACACGGCCGAGGAGCCGACGCCGGCGTAGCGCTGGTTCATCTCGATCCCCAGCCCGTGGAACTCGTGCTCCGAGTTGGCGATGGCCCACTGCAGGTCTGCGCGCCGCTTGCGGCCCGCCGGCGTGTCGGCCGCCAGCTCGGCCAGCGCGGCGCGGCGCTCGTCGACCGTCGGGAGCAGGTGGCCCAGCGCCGTGAAGACGTGGTTGTGGTCGCGGAAGCCGTCGTTGGCCCGCTTGACGATGCCCTTGCCCACCGGCTGCCGCTCGGGCGTGTACGTGTCCAGGAGGGCGCGGCCGGCCTTGCCTGATTTGTTTTTTGGGGGGTTTCTGTGTCAGCTAGTGCGCACCGGCCACAATCCCAGGTACTATGCCATCCTGCTGCAAGACCTACCCTGCATCACATATGCCAGCTTCCAGGCCAGGTTGAACGAGTCCTGGATGCACGTGTTGGACCCGAGGCCGTTGAAGGGCGGGTGGCGGTGGACGGCGTCGCCGAGGCAAAAGACGTTGCCCTTCTGGTACGTCGACGCCACGATCTCGTTGACGGTCCAGGTGTTGACGCGCACAATCTCAAAGGGCGTGTCGTCGCCGATGGTGGCGCGCACGCTGCGGCCGTAGTCGTCCATGCTCGGCCGGTTGTCCATGGAGTAGCCCGGGAGCGGGAACAGGATGAACATCCACTCGGTCCAGGGCTTGACCATGCGCACGACGGTGAAGAAGGCAAAGTCGGTGTGCTCGCGGTCCGGCTGCATGACCCAGTGCAGGTTGCCCGTGCGAGACTTCATGAGGTGCGACAGGTCGGCGCGCACCAGCACGTTGATGGCGGGCCCACCGCCGGGGCTGCGCACGAGGGGCAGCCCGAGCTGGGACACGATGCGGGACCGGGCCCCGTCGGCGCCCATCAGGTAGCGCGCCTCGATGGCGTACATCAGCCCCGTCACCCGGTCCAGCACCGTGGCGGTCACGCCGCCGCCGCCGCCGCCGCCGCCCGCGTCGGAGCCGTGGTCGACAAAGGTCTGGAACTCGGTGTCCCACCGGATCTGGAACCCGTTGAGCGTCGCGTGCCGCACCAGCTCCGGCTCCAGCAGCGTCTGCGGCAGGTCGACGGGCAGGCAGGGGCTGGCGCGCTTGTACTCTCCCTGTGTGGGCGGGGCGTGTCAGAGCATGAAAAATGTGGTCACGGTAGGGATGGGCGTCCCGTCTCCGCCCCCTCCGTCTTGCAAAACTCACTCTCCGCTTCGGGTCGTTGCCCCACGAGTGTATCCGGGCGTACTCCCTCCCGGCCATGCTGTGACACCAGCGCGTGTGGATCATCGAGTCCCCCTTGGTCGCCAGCTGCACGCACTTCTTCTCCAGGCCAATGTCCCTCAGGCATTCTATCGTATGTATAAGTCAGTCTAGTATAGTAGAATCGCAATCCTCGTGACAACTACAAAAAAAAAAAAAGCACCCACCCAGGGCGGCCATGTTGGTGATGTGCGCGCGCGGCGTGTCGGCGCTCGTAGAGTTCATGTCGACGATGATGCCCTTGATGCCGTACGACGTCAGGAAGCATGCGAGCGACGCGCCGGCGGGCCCCGCGCCCACGATCAACACATCCGTCTTGATGGTGGCGGCGGGGGTTGCCGTCGCTTCTGCCATGGTGATTAGTGGTGGTGCTTCTGCGAGGTTGCCTGTGTGTGCGTTTGTGTATAATCCAACTTGGTGGCCTCGACTTGGGCAACACTTCTTCTCAGGATAGCAGGTGGTTCACCGAGACGTGGAGGAAATGGAAGAGAACGCGAGACGTCCGTCAAAACTTCAGCAGCGGGTGGCGTTATTAGACCCGCGTCACGGCCCCAGCCCGGCAGGGTAGCATCGTCCATGATTTATTTTCTTTCCCCCGTCGTCTTCGAGCCCCCTCCCTGCCCTACCCGCCATGGCTGTCCGTCCAGGGAGGGCGGTGCTTCCGAGTAAAGACCCGAGGTGAGGGGCACTAGGTACCCATCTCTGCCGAGAGCACAGGCTGTGTGGGCTTGCGTGCGTTCTGTGTGGTGTCGAGCCTTGGCACCGGTCATTGCGGGGTGCTGTTTTTTTTTGCCTACAATAGGGGGCCAACCTGCTGAGGCTGTCTTGACTAATTCAGTCAGGGACCCCGCCAAAGCAAGCACGCGCGCTGCTAACAAATATTTGACAAATTCAGCCATCTGCAGCTCTCGTAGCTGGGCATCGACCATGGAAGAAGATGACCAAACCCCGTGAGTCTTGTTTTCTTGTTCCAGTAGGGCGTTTGATTCTTTTTTTTTTTTTTGATTCTTTTTTTGCTCCCCTTTCCCGGTGCTTCGGCCCAATGCAACCGACTACACCTACGTGGCTATTGTCTTTCGCACATGGCCTGATGCTGGGGCTCGAGGCGACGTCAGACAAGCAAATTCCCCGCACCGACTCGCTATCGTCGCAGTCCGAGTCCTGGAACTCCCTCTATTTCCCTTTTCGAGCCTGGACGGGCAATGCTCAACGGCAGCCCACCGCCAATCGAAGGCATTGATGTTGTTTGCAGCATCTTGATCGTCGCAATAAGGGGGCTGGCGATCACCCCTGATATTGAACTGGTGTCACGGGAAAGAAAAAAGGACATATACCCATTCGCATTTCATCGTGCCATGTGCGTCTAGCAGTATATAGAAGAGGCCCTTTCGTGTTCTCCACCCAGATTATTCCACCCGCATTACATCGCAAAGTCCCGACCCAAACAGGAGGCAAAAAAAGAAGACGAAAAAAAGACGATTGGTAGTAATACAGCAGATCTGCAACAGCCATAGTTGCAGCAACGAAACGAAACAAAAGATCTGGCGGAAGAAAAAGAAAACCCGGCTGTCTGGACATCTTCGTGAAAGTTTTCTCGAGATCGTAAATCCAATGATAGAAGTAAATAAGAATAAAGCATGGCAATCAGTTCATTAGTAGCCCCCGCCGTGTCTCCGCGCCCTCCCGGCGCCAAGGTCGATGCGCTTCATCTCCTCCATGAGCGCCCAGTCGCCACCGTTACCGCCATACGACCCGCCCGGCGCAGGTAGCGCCCCGCTCATGACGGGCATGCCATGGTCACCTCCGTCGCGGTAGCTCGACGAGCTGTATCCCCCACCGCCGCCGCTTCCCATGGGGATTTTGGAAGGGATCGGCGGGGCGCCGTTGCTCGAGTATCCGCCTCTGTTACCACCACCGCCGTTGTAAAGAACAAGCGGTGCGTGGTTCTCGCTCTGGTGGAAGTCGTACGTGCTTGCGCGCTGCATCGAGCGCGGCGGCGCGCAGCTGCCCTGTCGGTAAGGCTGCTGCAGCGGCGCCAAAGGGGCGCCCCCACCAGGGGACGTGCTGAGAGCCATGGTAGACCCACGAGCCTGGACAACCTTCTTCTGGAATCTGCGGCCTGCTGAAGGCGACGTGTCACCACCGTAGCTTGGCAGAGCCGATGTGCTGGAGCTCCCGTTGCCGTACGTCACCAGTGAGGACTGAGGCTTGACCGCCGCAATCCTCAGCTGCCTGCGCCCCGACGTGCCGATGGGCAGCGAGCTGTCCGAGGCCCTCGCGTTCTGGGCAGGTGGCTTGGATTCCCGCGGCTCCGGCTCCGGTGCCCACGTGTCCATGGGCAGGTGGTCACTCGGATCAATCTCACGGCCGTCGTGGCCGATGATCTTGCCACTCTTCTCGTTGAAGTCTGCCCTCTCCTTGTGTCTGTCTTTGACAGCGCCAGCCGACATGTGGGGATTAAGCTCGTCGAACGAATCCGGTGCGAACGGAACCCCCGACAGACGCCGGTGCGGCTCCATCAATGGCGCTGGGCTGACTGACTTGCGCCGTATTGTGTGCTGCTGCTGAGGCACGCCTGGCATAGGAGACATAGACCGACGATGCGTGACGGCATGTTGAGCTGGCAGCGGTGACATGGACCGACGGTGGCTGACAGTATGCTGACCTGGTAGGGGCGACATGGACCGACGATGACTGACGGCATGTGGCGGCGCAGGGGAGGGAGCTCTGCTATTCGAGTAGCCAGGTGGATGTCCGTGCTCATACGCCATGGGCTGGGGCGATGTGCTAAAATGCTGCGTTGAGCTCTCTTGGTTGTACTCAATCATCTGCCTCCCACGCGTGGGCGTGTTCATCTCAGAAGCTCTTCTCATCTCGTGCCGCCTGTCGTCATTCATTCGAGAGGATAACTCAAGGGCGAGATTGGGGTCAACTCCGGGGACCAGCGCAGCAGGAATGTCGGCGGGGACTACATGGCCACCCGGGCTGCGCTGCACGTAGTGGTCTTCCGTCTCACTCCGGTACTCTATTTGGCGCTGGGCGGGAATGTTGTGATGGTTTGATCGCGGGTTTTGACCGGGGCTGCTCTGATAGTGGTCTCTCGACGCACTACCAGAGTACATCTGAGACGAGCCATCGTGGTGATCCATATATGGGTTCGCACCAGGGCTTACTTGATTATTAACCATGGGGTTCGGACTAGGGGTGCGCTGATGGCGATCCCTCGTATACCCGTCCCTAGGGTAGGACGAATCCCCGTTGGAAGTGTATGCGCTGGCGCGTTGTGTGCCGGGCGAGGTGGACATCTCGTGGACGTAGTCGTTATTGGAGTACTGCCGGCTGCGCGACTGTGGCGGCGCAGCTGGCGTCGGGCTATAGTGCCCAGAAGCGCTGTTCCTGCCACTCAGGTTTAGCGGTGCAGGTGTGTCGTATTCGGGCTCATTATATTGCAGGAGAGCCTGTGGCGCCCGTCCGCTACTTTTCCGGAATGTAGTCGTCGCAGCGGTAGGCGATTCGGGGTCGTCCTCGACCGTTGGTTGCATCGATCGGTGGTGAGAGTCGTATGTGGGGTGAGGGTCATAGACTTGGTCGAAAGAGTGGTGTCGTGGGGGCGGAGGTTGATGGCCAGCGGCTTCATCTGGATATTGGAGCCCGTTGGAAGGCGGTGGTGGAGCAGAGTCGTACGGCCTGTACGTGGGCCGCCCGGGGTATGATGCCTGGCCTACGGACTGCCTATGCGCCGTCCGCAAGACGTCTTGCCTCATTGTCGGCGGCGTACCTCTCTGAGCGCCATCGAAGTTACTTGCCCTATAAGCCATGTCGGTCGCGACGCTGCTGCCCCTGCTCCGGTGGACAGGCGGCGGAGGCGGTCTGTCCTCGTCAATGCTGGCGTGGCGTGGAGGCTCCATGGGCGGCAAGCTCCGCTGGACATAGGGGTCGCGATCCCCATCGAACGACGACCGTGGGTCTTGGTGATCATACGACTGGGAATGCGACTGGGAGTAGGAGCTGGAGTATTGCGGCCGCTCGGCCACCACTCCATAGTCGGGCTCGTCGGGCCTCACGGCATACTTGTCGTGTCTTTCCGAAGTGCGCGGGTGTTGGCTCTTTTGGGGCTGCTGTTGCGGTGGGGTGTTGTAGGCGGAGGGCGGCGCCGACGCTGGGGAGTTGTGGTGGCTGCTCTGATGATATCTGCTGGACTGTGGTGGCGGGGTGCTGTACTCGATGGGCTGCATGGGCGACTGCTTTGGCATAAACGGCGCCAGCCCGTTAGGCTGCTGCCGCGGCGGTGTTTGAATCTGGTCGGGCGCGGCGGCCACGGCGGGTGCTGGACCGTTTGGTGGTTCTGATGGGAGCGGCCTGCGCTTGGGGGTAGTGAGCACCTGCTGCGCCGGGGGCGCAGGGACATCGGAATCAGGACCCGCCATGATAGCTTTGGGCTTCGCCACTGACTTCTCGGGCTTGGGCCGAGAATCGTAAAAGGTGATTTCGAGTCTGATCTCGCCTGCATATCTGCTGCGGCAGTTCAGTGTGTGCCAGGTGTCACTCTGACCGCCGCCGGTGACGATGATATCGCGCAGGTCGATCCATGTCTCGCCTATCAGATCAGTCTTCTTGTCATCGTTGAACACCGACACCTTCAGCTGGTAGTAGTCTGGGCAATCGTGCACTGTAAACCGCAGCTCTTGGTCCCTAAGAATCGGCGCATGCCGGGTTAGTCTCGGTTGGTCACAGCGCCCATGGAAAGCCGCGCAGGCAACAATCTCACTCACCATTTCGGCGTTTGGCCTCCGCGGACGTCTGTCGTGGTCTTCCTCGCCTCCTTGCCCAGTCGTGCCGCGCAGTACGGGTCCTGCTTGCCAATCGTCTTGCGGTTGGGCAGGTTCTTGGCCTTGTCGACAATCAGAACCAGGGTACCGATCTCGGGACCGTCGATCGTGCTGTCGGAGAAGATGCCCGAGGTATGCATGCTGTTAAGCGGGTGCGGCTGCTTCTTGAGGGTCGCCATCTTGCTCTCATGGGCTTCCCGAGGCCGGGGGTGCTGCGGCGGTGGTGGCGGGCGTTGTTGTGCGGTGGGCGTCGCTTTAGGGGCGATTGTTTACTTGGATCTTGCCCGTTTTCGGTTGCCGGGACTCGGCTGCCGCTGCGGCTGGCGGGCGGACAAGGGTTTGAGAAGGGCGGAAAAGACACTCTATGTCATGATCAAAGGAGCGGCAGGGTCGTGTTTCTTGAGGGCGGATGTCCAACAAACGCGATCCCAGGGCCAGAAATGAAGAGGAACAAAAGGTCGAAGAGGAACTGGGTTATCAATGTCCTGCCTCAACCCGCAATGGCAGCTGCAAGTCGCGACGTTGAAGTGGAAGGCGTGGGTGCCGCAGTAACAGCTGGGGACTGATAAATGTGGGCATGGGCAGGCGCTTTCCAAGGTGCTTCCCAAAATGGGGGGGCTGGCTCTGGATTGGGTGGCCGGGAGTTCCTAGTCAGGGCGCGCCCCACCGGTCTCTGCGGTACGTGCAGGAGCGAGGGAGGCACCAGCGACGGATCTTACTGTGTCTAGCTAACCTGGCCAGAGTAAACAAGAAGGTTGGATGGGGTGGTGGCACGCAATCCCGGATCCAAGGCGGCGTGCATAGTTCGCTTCCAGAAGGGCAGATACAATATTGAGTGTCGCCGAGGCCACCCCCCGTTTTATTGCACGAGGTCGGTGCCATGTTGCTTCGGCCCGTCGAGGCGGTGTCCCTTTTAAGCATTGGCATTTCATTTCTACACCTTGACCAGACGATCCCAGAAGTCCGCGTTTGAAACACGCCCGCGCAATGCTCAGTGGACAAGTCAGGATGGACAAGACAGATGCCGTCGACTGCGCATGCCTCTGACGCAGGGCACGACGCGTTGCTCTGCTCCGCCCCGCCGCATCCTTCGCTGGGCGCTGGCCCATCCACCACCAAACCTCAAGCCCTTCAGCCTGGTTGGCTTCCGCTCCCCGCATTTCCTTCCCATCCATCGTGCCATTGCCCCGCCTGCTCCGCCCATTGGGCTGTGGTTTGGAAATTGCCGGAATGACGACTGGGTGCAGAAACCGAAATGGATATCACACTGGCATTGGTCTTTTGTCGGGCTGCCACATCACTTCTCGACGATTCTTCTGTCGCGTTGCGGCCTGTACCTGCATGCCGCCTGACGGGCGTCTCGGCCAAGGATTCCTTGCATCGTGGCACAAATGACGAATTTCTGTATTGCAACACATCTGATCTGTCTGTTACTCGCTACCTCTACCCTGATTGGCAGGCCATGTCCCACCACAGTTGGCGCATTCAAAAACTCGCGAGCAGGATGCTCAATGGGGAGTGGAGTCGGCCCATCTACTGCTCCATGCCCTCGAGCTTCTTCCTGGCCTCCTCCTTGGCCTCGTCTGAGACGTTGGGGTTTTTCATAGCCCTAGAAAAGTCGGTTGTGAGAACAAGTGTGTACCGAGCTATTGATAGTAGGGGATTCGCTCACGCCTTCAACCTCCAGCAACATTGCAGGGGTTCTTGCCCTCGTCGGAGTCGCCGGCCTTGGGAACTGAGTAGATATCGAACATGTTAGCTGTGGTCTCAGTCTCGGTCCTCCGTATCTGGTCGTTTTGATGGAACCACCACATACCATTACCGCCGTTGAACTCTTTCTCGAGGACCTGTTTGGAGTGCTCCTTGGACTCCTGCGAGGTATTGGGGTTCTTGATGTTTGCCTTATGGCCTCCAGCGATCTGGGCGTCAGACATGTTGTTGAGGTGGTGTGGGAGACTGATGTCTTTGGGTGGATGGTTTATGTTGCGAAGTCCAGGCTGTATAGACAGTGAAGATGGTTGTGGAGATGTGTGTGATTACGAGAAAAGAGGCCGCACAAGATGGGGGAACTGCTCATCATCTTATAGACTTGGACAAGCAGCTTTTCGATTTCCGAGGCCTTATCCAAGGCGCGCCTCCACTTCCGTGCTCTCACTTTAGAGACGGCGAGGATCGCGACGTCGTGAGCTGAGATCATCACAGGGACCAGGGCGATTCTTCCTTATTCGATAGGCCGCCTGGGTCATCGAGAATCACGAGTGATCGTGGTTTTCCCAGTCAATCGAATGTCTGTCGGATCCAAGAGAGACACGGAGAAGCAAAAGCAAATTAGCACTTGAGCAAGCGTTGGTTCGGGCCATGAGATTTCACCGCTAGAGGCGCCCTCCCGCCCTTGCATGCCTCTGTCACGACAGATTTATGCGGCTCTGCAAGGGCATGGGCCTTGACTGGGCTTGATCATGAATCATCGAGCATCGGCAATCCCCTCCTCGGCTCCGACGCGCGAGCGGGACGGGAGGAATGGACATGCGCCGCTAGATCGGCCGTCTCCCGGCAGGCTTGGCTGCCTCATACCTAGGTCATCGCTAGTGCTGCTAGCCGAAGACGCCAGGAAACAAAGTGTGAGGTTTAGGAGAAAGCCCGGCAACGATATTCAGACCCGCCGAGGGCCAACACATTGGCTGTTTTCACCAGATAAAAGAGCGAGCATAATTACTCTAATCGATTTCGCACGAAATAAATGATGTATAGATTGTGAAGGGAGGTTGGGAAACATCCAGCCTCGTCTGTTAGCGTGTGCAGGTTAACCTCAACTTTACCCTGGTCGACGCCAGATCCGCGTCCTCGGTGAACGCAAATCGACGGATAATGTCGTTTGCGGAAATGGTTCACGAGGACGATCGATGCCGGGCCGATCTAGAGTGTCATCGATCGCAGCCGCCGTCGGGAGATGCGGGAGAAAAGAAGCAAAGCGCCTCGCCTCGGTCGGCGAGCGAGGCTTGGCTTGGCGCGCCAGGGCCTGGGACCCGCTGAATTCCAGCGACTCGGGAGGGCTGATCCGGGTGCCCCAGCCACCCAGCCACGTTCAGCTCAGCGCATGTGGCTGTGCGTGCATTGCTGTCATGGAGGACTCAGCCCCTGACCACAGCCGGCACTGCCCGAAACAAACATCATCATCCATCGATCGACCAAAGAAGAAAAGAGCCAACCAATTCTGCAGGGCAGAACCCGGAAAGGCCGTTGCAGCAGCACACCATCGCCACACCCACGCACGCGCACTCACAACAGCACAACACAGCAAAGCCCAGCACCCCCATCCTCAGCCGCCGAAAATGACCGCGCCGGCGACAGCGCCGGAGCAGCCCGGCCCGCTCAACTACGTCGTCGGGTTCATAATGGTGGGGCTGGCGTGGGGCCTGACGACGCCCTTCATCCGGCGCGCGGCGCGAGACCACCGCCCGGCCGCCCACCCGGTGCTGCAGTCGGGCCGCGTCCGCTCCAGCGCCGTGCGCTCGCGCCTCTACGGCGCCTTCTTCGCCGTCGTCGACCTGCTACGCAACCCCCGCTACGCCGTCCCGCTCCTGTTGAACCTGACCGGGAGCGTGTGGTTCTTTCTGCTAATCGGGCAGGCCGGTGAGATTTCCCTCCCCGTTCTCGGTTTGGTTTTCTGTCCTTTTGTTATATCTTGGCGCCGCTGACATGAGCCACAACCCATTATTCTCCACCCCACCCACACCCGCCAACTACAGAGCTGAGCTTGACTGTCCCCATCGTAAACACCCTTGCCTTCCTCTTCACCGTCATCGGCGAATGGTGGGTCGAGGATAAAGTCATCAGTAGAGGTAAGTCGGCGATACAGCCACAGTGCTCCGCAATCGTCACTACTAACCGACACCATTGCCGTATGTAGACACCATGCTGGGGATGCTCCTATCCCTGGGCGGTATCGCTCTCTGTGTGCACAGCAAGCTCTCATGAGGAGATGGCGTGGACGTGGCATGCTTTCGTTTGTGTGACCATCCCCTGCTCCATTTCTTTTCCCTCCGGTCCCTATTTGTCGCTTCTGCTGTATGCATAGGGGTTTCGTAGACGCCATGAGAGCGCATTATGCTCATAGGCCATGGTGTCTATAGCTGTTTCGTTTGCTGGCGCCAAATGGCAAAGAATCATTTGCTGCCACCTGGCAGCGCAACATGGCGTCACCGCCCGGAGTTTTGATTCATGCAATTGGATAAAAGAGATAGATGCGTGGTTTTAAGCCTCAAGTTCTGTTCATTCCGTCCAAATCCCTTGAATCCGTTATTTCTCGTACGTGGCAATGCCTGGCCATCGTACGCTGGTCCACCAGGGCCGCTAGTATGAGAGTACCTCCAATAGAAATCGATAAAACAGGTCGCTGCGAAATAAGGAAAAAGAGAATATAATGGAACAAAGACGAAGAAGAGATAATGATGTGTTGAAGGGATGAAAGAGAACCGTGGGAAAAGAAGATAGAAATGCAAAGGAAAAAGTGAGATAGACCAGCCAAGACAACAAGTAAAGCCCGCGCCAATCGGCAGCCGCAATACTGGGGGAGGATATATACATTTTGTTGAAGAAGGTGAAGTTTGTACGTATTGTGGAAGTGGGAAAGTATGTGCGGGAAGGAGAAGAAAAGCAAGAGATTTTGCGGGATGCGCTTTCGTTTATAGGTAAAAAGTGGAAGAAGGAAGAAATTATAAAAGAAAGAACGCGAATATCAAGAGATAATGGTTGTGTTGCCGGTACTACCATCGAAGAAACGAGGTTCGGTCGCCCGAAGCTCGGCATGTTTGCGGTAATGAGCTCGATACCTCCGAAAGTATCTTAGTCTCGGGGTTCTCGCCCGTTCATGGTTCGGTCGTGGGGTTTAGTAGACCCGGCGTACGACAAGACCAATCTCGTCTCCGGAAGCTCGGGGTTCCCTATGCCGGCGCGTTCGGTGGATTATCTAGGTCGCGCGACGGGAGCGAACCCAGCGCTGCACGGTGCGGACGCTCGGGTCCTCGCCGGTCCAGCGGCCGTACTGGATGTCGGAGGCCTGGAGAGTCTGGTAGACCGCATCGTCGGTGATTGTTGCCAGCCGCTAGGAACGAAGCCGCAATAAGTTAGCCTCTGCTGCCAAACATAAGAGTCTTGCCTATCCCGCAGAACAGAACTGCTCCCTCTCATCTTGCTAGAGTAGTTGACGTGTCTTGAAAGCCGAAATGCCTTGGGCTATTGGCGAAAACAAAGGGGTCGAAACTCACCCTCACCAGCTCCTGGTCGCAAGCCCGGAGCTGCAGTTCGTGGCCCGAGTGCGGCCGTTCCCCCTGAAGGACGTAGTCGCGGTTCGAGATCCAGTCCTGGGCGGCCGCCTGGCGGAGGTAGATCCTCTGGGCCATGTGCCTACGCGAGAAGACGTCGAGATGGACCCTATAGATGAAGGGAGAAAAAGGCGGTCAGCTCACAACCCCCAGCCCCTAAGACTTTTTTCTTTTTTTCGGCGCTTTCTCCCCTTTGTTCAGGTGCCTTTTCCGACAGCAGGCAAGTCGCAGAGCGAGAGAATTGAAGCGGGAGTCCCGGACGTCCGTTGTCCAAAGAGGAGAGGGAGGGGGAGAGAGGGAGAGGGAGAGGGAATCACTGACTGTTGAAGCTCGGCCTTGTCCTGCTCCTCCTGGCCGCCGCGGGCCCGGGGAACGGTAGTGTCGGCGCCGCAGTTGAGAATGTGCTGGCCGTCGATGGAGCACTGGCGCAGCACCTTCCAGCCCTCGGTGTAGTAGTCGTCCATGTCCTCGGGCGTGTCGGGCGCCGCGGCGATGTATTGTTGTAGCTGCATAAAGTCCGACAGGAGGTCGGCGACGCGCGCCCGGCGTTCCTTGTTGTCTAGAGATTGGAGAAAAAGAGAGCCTGATGTTAGCATGTTTCCTTCATCATCCTTTTTGGCCCATCTTTTCTTTCCAACACCTTTTATATGGTGATTCTGTTGATTTCAGAGTTTGTGATCGACCTTCACCGTGTCAAGCGCGTTTCCCCCCGTCGGCGCCCAAAGTCGTCCGTCTCGGCCCAGTGTTTCAAGCCTTTTTTCTGTTGGGCCAACGAGGGATGTTCTGGGAGACAGGGGTGCATGGGCCCGGGGAAATACTCACAGCCGTCCATATCTAATGATGCGGTCTGGTAAAGGGATGTAATGCGAACAACCGATTTCTGGACTAGGAACTGAAATTTCCGCGGAGCGTCAAGACTGCTAAGAGAAGAAGATGGGTGTTGTGTAGAGAGACGGTGGGATATTATGAAGGGATATGGCGTTCGGACGTCCTATGCGTTGTAGTTCAACGGAAGATATAGGACAGCGAATGCAGGGCGACTGCCGGCGAAGCCAATGGGAGAGCTTGTTGGAAAGAGGCTGTCGGGCTTGGGAGATTGGCGGATGATCTAGCGAGCGGTAAAGGTCCTCAACGGCGTGGCTCCTGCGTCCCTTTTGTATATTTTCCGATGAGGGCCCTCCGTGTCGGCATGACGGTATCACCACCTGGTGTATAATGAAAGGAAGGGCCGATGTTGACTGTATCCCGTGTACAAAGTGCGGGTATAGCTGGCGGCCATGTATGGGAGAATAACATGTAAGATGTTGGTATGTGGTATGGTGAGGAGACGAGGAAGAAAAACGAAAGCTAGACTAAGATGACGAACGACAGGAGAAACAGAGACTCCCACCCACACACGGGGCGCGCGCACCCTCTGCATGTCTTCCCACCTAGGTCTCGGGATGCTCCCGGAGCTACCACGGACCAGGCCATAGGGCTCTCGCGGCCTCATACTGGCTGAGGGTAAGGAGAATACATCCCGCGGGTGGAGTGTTGGGGGCGTGTGCGTATGCGTGGTGACTACACCATCAGCCATTGCGGACAAGAAGATCACACGCCCCCCTGATATACTGTGATATACAGGGCGGTCGAGTCGGGGAATTTTGAGGGGATGATGGCCCATGCCAGCGGAAAGCTAAGAGAGCAACAGCCCTTGCGGAGCTGTGGTTGGAGGGTGGGGGGAACGATAATAATCGCTTCTCCCCCCGGGTGTGTCATTTGGTGGGAGAGAGGCCGACGCCCGCGCCCGTCGGCGGCGGCGCGCCTTGCCCTAAACGGCCGAAGAGGAACCACGAAGGGCCCGTCCCGGGAGGAGGTGATAGTGCGTCTGGTCTATCCCTCTCCCCTGCCCCTGAGCTACCTGGGCGATCTGCATGCGCATGCTACGCTAAGCTGCAGGTCCAGCAGCTGCCAAAGGTTCAGATGAGGGCCCCCGAACGGGGGTGTGGGAGCCGCAGGAGGGGATGGGAACCATGCACTGGGGCTGGAAGGGTGGGTGGGTGACACAAGGCTGGCGCTCGCCAGCATCGGCGGCAGCACCAGGCTCATGGTAGGGTGCAAGGTGGGCCGCACGGGATGAGGTCATATCGAGTTGGCGGGCATCACGTAATGCCCGCGGGCTTCTTGGGTCTACAGTGGGAGATGGAAGCAAAATCACGTAGTAGCAACAGTGGATGCGACGAGTTGCTGCTGCCTGGAGATATCGCGGGACCTAGGGGCCTGTAAAGACCGGGACATACTGTAGTAGGCGGAAAGGGTGGATCAGTATCTCATCTCCATGTGTCTTGGAAGCTCCCCAATATCTAGACTTTTTGCTGGTGGTTGGGTGAGAGCCACCTCAGGCACTGCAGCACCCACCCGCCAGTCGGGCCCACAGCTTAGCACAGCTAGGCCCAAAACGCTCGACGCGCAGGGCGGAGAATTTCAGCGCAGCAGGACGCCTGTGCTCTCTCCTCTCACAGAAGTGGGCACTTCCCAACGTGGGAACGCCACCAAAATTAGGCGCGCAGCCAATGGGCGCCGCGAAGGACATGGAGCGGCCGCTGCGAGTGGAGGCCGCTCTCGCCGCGGGCTTCGAGCCTGTGGCTTAGGTGCTCGACAACCTCAGGCCATGGAGGGGGGAGCCTTGACGCGCGAGGCCGTTTTCGTTTTGGCTGCGTCCGAAGGGGACCATGGCAGCTGAAAAAGAGATATTTTGGGGCTACTCACCCGCATTAGCCCTTTCGGCCGCGATCCAATGACGACGGTGGCCCTGCCGGCAATCCCACCCTCATGGCTCTGCTGGCCCGGTCAGGCGTGTTGCTTTTTTGTTTCTGCCGCCCATTCTTGGTCTTGGGAGAGGGCTCATGACGGTGCGAAGATGCCGACAGGAGGGGCCGGTCCACGAATGAAAATGGCCGGCTGGGCGGTGATCCTCACCGTGGCCATTTGGGTTTTTGTCCTCAGCTATCGGCGACCTGCGGATGCCTTTTTTTTTTCCATAGCCCAGAGGAAGGAGATGTGAACAAATGCGGCTCTCCACTGCCGGGGATCCGTCGCTTCGCCGCCCACGATGCAGCCCATCTCGCTTGTGGCACCTGGGGCAGAGGCATGCTACTGCGGATGCTGCAGTTGGAGGCCCAGGCTAGCCGGTCCCTTGCCGCTGCTTACACGATGCAGAACCCCTCGTCAAACATTTCCACGGCGGCGGCGGCATCTTTCCAGCTCGTCGCAGACCTGGAACTCTCAGGTGGCTTGAGCCCCTGCTGGTCAATTCCCAAATCCAGCGGCTTGGGAAACCCAAGCATGCAGGATGCAGGGCAGAGACCCACTTTCGCACCCGACAAGAAAATATAGGCTTGCGCATCCAATTTTTCTCCATCGTCATCTTGCCTGTCATGTGTGCAAGCGTGGCTTCGGACAGGGCGCTGCAGTGCGGCCTGTCCTCAGCAGCGGTCCGGCCAAATGCGATGCTCAAAACGAGAGAGATGTGTGTCTATCAACGCCCTGATGGCATTTGTGGTTTGATGATGTTCCACGTATGAGTGGCATGGCAGACGTATTGACAAGGGGCAGTTTTCCTTGGCTGGCTGGACCAGACCGAAGGACAAGAATGAAAGTTTGTCTGGCCATGTCTCCATACCTCCATACCAACCACCATCTCTCGCGACCCTCCACCAGACGGGCCCACGACGGCCTCACAAGGTGGTAAGCGGAATCGGTGCCTGGTTCGTTTACGCCACAGCACCCCAACTCCACTCTCACCTTTTTATGAATGGTCGCCTTATGGCTTGAAAGGCTTGAACCTGCCAACCCACCCTCATTTTCTCGCCCTCCATTAAAACAAGGCATATTAACATCATCGCGAGCTACTAAGCGAACGTTTGCGGGGCAGGTATGCCCTGCCGCAAGTTTATTTGTGCCTTGCCAGCAGCTGATACAAACATCGAGAATCCGAATGACAAAATTCCAGCTCGACAAAGCCAGCCCTTCCTTGGCTGTGAGAATAGATGTTCAGGTCCGTAAATAGAACGGCCTCTTTTTTTCTTGATTTCACCGAATGGAGAGCTTCAGCTGGCACCGGTGACGGCGGGGTAGCCATACACTGGTCGATCGCGATGAACTCAAGTAGTCAGACAGAGCATGAGAGTCCAAAGATTGCTGAAGATCGATTATAGCAAGATAAACCATGTACACTTGGCGAGATCATTGGCGATACTAGCGAAGAGGGGACAGGTGGCCTGTTGACTCCTCCCTGATCTGCCTTGCATAATCCTCGAAACCTTCGCCCCGAAGATGATCTCAAGCGGCCTGATGGCAGCTCGACCCGATCCAGAGGCTGCCAGGCTGTAATCATGACTTCGCGGCCCTACACCGGTGGCGTCGGCCCTTCTATTGCGTCCGGCTGGGGAACCCAGCACTTGTGCTTGCATCACACCGGTCTGGTTCCTCCACTGACCCTCATTCAAACCCGCTCAGTCCTTCTCAGCAATAGCCTGTAACCGCTCGTCGATCTCCTCCTCGGTCAGCTTCCTGAAGTTGGGGTCGGTGCCCTCCTTGCCATCCGCCCGTGGACCGCCAACGATGCCGATCTCGATCTCCGTCTTTTTGAAGTCGATGCTGAGCACCGTGCTGAGCGTGGTGATGGCCAACTCCACCACCTCTTCCCAGCTGCCCTCGGCGTGATCCTTGTTTTTGAGCTTCTTCTCAAGGTGGTTCAGCGCCTCCTGCTGCTTGGGGCCTGCTGCCGTTCCCTTGTAGCCGATATAGTAGCCCGCGGGGTCGCATTTGAACAGCTGTGGTCCGTACTCCTCATCCAGCGAGATCAGTGTTGTAGCGATGCCGTATGGGCGCATATACGCCTAAACATAGCACATCGAGTAAGCATTCGGTTCCGAGACTTATCTTGGTCCAGCAGGACATGAGTTGAGGGTTGTGGATATTGCCGCGTCGTACGACGAGGTATACGTACCCTCTGGGTGTAGACCTGGCTGATATTGGCCAGCCTTTTGGCCAGAGCGTCACACGGCATTTCGTAACCGTACTTGTAGCGGAATTCGGCGGCCTCGCCTTGGGCGCGCTGGGCAAAGGCCCTGGCGTCTGCTATGGAGCCGGTGATAACACAACCAACCCTGGGCGAGATTTGGAAGAGGTGCGACACCGAGGAGGGGTCAATGAGCTTGTCCTAAATCGGCGCGGTCTCGTCAGCTCCAGGCTGAGGTGTCGAAAAAGGACGAAAGAGCGCCCCGGTGTGGAGGGGTAAAGTGACGTACGGGCACCTTCTTTTGCGACAGGACAACGGCGCAGTCCTTGCCGCGGACGCCTACTGCCATGATGTTGGCGGCGGTGATGGCCTTGAATGCATACTCTGGGAGATGTGCGTCGCTTGTCATCAGCACGATTGTCTGCGGGGCAGTGTCAAGCTGGACATGATGCTGCGCCAAGCTGATCGAGCTAGCAGGTGGGAATCAATGGATTGTCTGCATACCGACTTGGTACAGTCTACCCCGATCGGAGAAGATAGTAATGTGCCTGTCGTATCCTGCGCTCCCTATGGCAAGACATGTTGGTCAGCTTGGGTGTTTGTCCTGGCGAGATGGGGCGGGCGGGTTGAAGCTGCTGTTGCCCACAACGATGACGGCGGGCAGCACAAAAGACAGAAACGCACCGGACATCTTGGGCTGGCGGGGGATGAGGGTATGGGAGCTTGTCGATAGCTGGTTGTGGGCGTTGCAAGCTGGCGGGTGGTGATGGTGGGATTGCGGAGGTCAAGGCGGATGCGCTGCCCTTGAGCTCTGTCGTCAACGGAGCTTCCCTGAACGCGTTGCCCGGAGCTTGCCTGGAGTGGGAAGGCTGAATCAGTTGGCTGCTGAGCACTGATCTAGTGGCCTTGGAATTCAGGCGTGAGAGCCAGTCCAGACTTTCCGCACAGAGGTGTGTGGTCTGTGCCTCGGAGAGGACCTTGACCCCTGCAGCCCCACAGTTAAGTCGGGTGGAGGCAGCAACGAGCGAGAGCGGGCAGAGGGAGCCAACCGGGGCAGGTGAGGGGCCCTGAGAATTGGAGAAGAAAAAAAAAAGTGAGGCAATCACAACGAAGGATTATTGACCAGCCAAAACGGATCATTCCAAAGTCGGCACAACACTTTGGGCAGCCAGAAACACCCAATCAGCCCAACGCCCGGTTATGCAGCCGAGTTTATCGACCATTAGCATACCACCGCAGCCATAGGCTCACTCGGCGCTCGCGGCAAAAATCGGGCGCTCTGTTTGGCCGACCTTTTGCCCTTGTTTAGCCCGGCGTTATTGGAGCATCTGCCGCCACGGTCCCTGCTTTTCTTCCACCCGTGCGGTGTCTCTCCATTGTCTTCATACCCCTCCGATTGAGCTCCCTCCGCCTCCCTTCCGGTCCTCTCCCTCTCTGTGCCCAGCATGGCCCCCCAGACTTTGCCAGCACAGAGCGTGCCGGCCTGGAAGCGATTGGGTTTGAAGCTCAAAGGTGCTGGCGACACCCCTTCGACCCCTTCGGCCAAGCCTGCGGCCAAGATCAGCGGTGCAGGTTCGACGACCGGGCCGCGGGACTCTCCCAGCTGGGGCAACAAGCGAAAGGAGTACCCTTCGCCCTCGAGCCAGTTCGGCAACAGCAAACGCCCCCGAACAGACTTCAGCCAGGCAGCCCAGACGCCTGGCCGGCGCAAGTCGGTTACTTTTGCCGACGGCACTAAGGGCTCGGACCTCGACCCCTCGGCCACCAAGACGCCCTCCAAGCCTCCAGGGGCTGCCGATGACAAGCAACAGAAGAAGCCAAAGAAGCCCAAGACCCGAAAGTCGGCTAAGAAGCCTGAGCAGAACTACAAGCCCGACCACCTCCAGCCCCAGCTGAGCCAGTACCTGCGCGATTGGCACACTGCGCGAGACACGTGGAAGTTCCGCAAAAATATCCAGACTCTGGTGATCAAATACGCTTTCGACCCCGTGCTCTTGCCAGCCGCCGACTTTCCAATCTTTCGCAAATACGCCATTGGGCTGCAGGGCGCTTCGAGGGACTGGCTCCGCACCTCAGCCGCGGATATCAGGAAGAGGGATCTGGAGCAGAGGGGCACCGCCGGATTCCCAGCGGGCACGACCGACACCGACGGCAAGCAGGAACGATACGAGGAGCTGGTCGCCAAGATGCTCGGTGCGCAGGGCAGCCAGGCGCGGCGGGGCAGCAATGCCAATGGCAAGCGCGTGCGCGACGACTATAGCGAGGAGGATTTAGTCATGGGCGGCACCGAGGCCGAAGCGCGGGGGCCCGAAGTGACTCAGCGCATTGTTAAGAGGATGCGGGCCGAGATGGTGCTCGACGAGCTGTCGGATGCCGACGCCTCCGACGCCTCGGCCGCAACAACGTCCTCCACCACTACGACGACAACAACAACCAACGGCGCCTCTTCAGAGGGAGAGGTGGCGACAGCAACGCCATCAGCCGGAGAGGCCAAAGCCAAGGCGGCTGACAGCTCGCAGAAGCGAAGGCGTCAGCGGAAGAAACGCACCGTTGATGACGATGACGACACTAGCAGCAGCGATGATAACAGCGACAGCAGCGACGATGAGGACGCCGGGTCTGCGGACGAGGATGATGACGATGAGGAGGAGGAATCCGACAGCGAATCCACTTCGAGCTCGGGGACGAGCAGCAGTGGTTCCGACTCGGACTCGTCTGATACTGCAAGCGAAGGCACGCTCCAGAGGCTGGCGCAGGAGCGTGAGGCTCTCGAGTCCTCGTCGAGCAGTAGCAGCAGCAGCGGCTCTGATTCGGGTAGCGATTCAGACTCCGAGTCCGAGCTATGACCGGACGGGACAGGAAAGATGTCGCATCATGTTCATGGTTGTCGTCTCCGCTGAGAAGCGAGAGATGTGTCGGGCCTTTGAATACCCTGTACCTCGGCTTTCACTTCTTTGAGGGCATCCTGGATGCCATCAATGATTCAGACATGTCGACATCAGAGAGTTCAGTTGCGCGCCTAGCGCGTCTTCAAATATTATATGCATCGCCAATTTCTCCTTCTCTCGTCATGTTTTAGGGGAGCTCGATCTCTGCATGTATCAGATAAGTAGGTGTTCTTCTATTAGGTTGATCCGAAGTATTGGAAGAAGTGGAGATGCCATGGTTGCAGCAGGCGAAAAGTGAACAGTGTTTCCTATTCCGAGGGCTGTCTTAACGACCAAGCTCTGAGCCTGGCGTGTCGGGCCGACTGTCGTTAAATGTCGACGGTGACGGCGTCCCCCTGGAAGCAGACATGGCCGCGCCGATGGCGCCTCCGGGGTGGTTTTTCGCAAACACGGATGCCACCCCCTCAACGCCGCCGTGGAGCTCGCGCCCCACGACAACGGCCAGGGCGTCTCCGAGCGCCAAGGCCACCGTCGTGCTGGCCGTCGGCGCGGCTATGCCCAGGCAGTCAACCTCGGAGACGGGGATCGGGGCCGGCAGCACCACCACGGGCGCGCCGTGCGCCGCCCCGTCTCCCATGTCCTCGTCACCGGACGACACGGCCCATGCTCTGCTGCCGTCTACAGCGTCGGGCCCCCCATCGAACTCGTACCCGGCCCTCACTGCTCCCCCGACGACAGAAGAAGCGCCCGACGCGGCCGCGCTCCCGCCACCGCTACCGCCGCCCCTCCTTACCCTCCCCCTGGCACCCCGCAGCAGCGACGCGATCTCGCACTCGCCGTCGGGAGCGGCCGTGACGACGACGACGGGCAGGTCCGGCGCCAGGTGGGTGGCGAGGGCGCACAGCTCCGAGGTGCGGCCGCTAAAGCTGACGAGCAGGGCGGCGTCGCGCCGGGGCGCCAGCAGGCCCAGGTCGCCGTGCAGGGCCTCGGTCGGGTGCATGAAGGCGGCGCGCACCGACAGCGAGCTAAAGGTGGCGGCCAGCTTGCGCGCGACGTGGCCCGACTTGCCGACCCCGCTCACCACCAGCGTCCCGCCCCGGCCCTGGCTGCGCGCCACGGCCGACGCGGCCGCGTCAAAGGCCGCGCGCGCGGCCGCGTCGGTGGCGTAGAGGCGCGCGAGGGACGACAGCGCTGCGGCCTCGGCGTTGAGGACGCGCACGGCGCCGGCGAGGCGGTCCGTCGCCTCGGGTCCCCATCCTGCTGGCCGAAGCGACGGCGACGGCGGCGCCGTGACGACGGGGCTGGCCAGGGTTCTGGGGGAGGCGGCGGCGGCGGCGGCGGGGACGCTGCGGGGTATTGGCGGTGGCGGTGGCGACGAGTTTGTGCCAAGGGCCGGGATGATGTCGCCGTCGAGCAGCGGCGGCGGCTCCTGGTGGGCGGGCGGGCAGAAGGGCGTGCCGCCCGGTGAGGGTGGTGATGGCGGGCGCTCTACCGGGCCGGCCGGCCGGCCGAGCAGGTAGACGGCACTGGTCTGCACCGGGCCGGGCCGCTCGTGATGTCTGTGGTTGGCCATTGTGCTGGGTCGCGGCTGGGTCACCTGTTCTCTCGCGGGATGCACGGCACTTGGGACTCCGATCCTTCCCGCACCTTCACCAGACCCTGGCCTCCGATTGCTCTCCAATTGTAGCGGACAGGTTGGGAATGAAAAGCCGTTCTTCCCCAAGGTATTTGGCACTTTCTAACCCTGATCTTGGACCGTCGTTTCGTATTTATCTTCTCGGGTATTGTTGATCATTTGACATCTGGAGACGTTGACGTGGAAGGATACAAATGCGATTCTATGTTACATGACTCTGGGTAGGTGCATGC